GAGCAGCTTCACACTCACCATCTCCTCCAAACACTGACCGACTCACAGTGATGTTTGACCCACACTGGAACCACAGACAAGAGTCCAGACGCTCCCACTTTATGTCTCGTTTACATCACAAAGTCCATCAGAACATGTCCCAAACTCACTGACATTTTCAAGTTCAGACACTGACGTCTCTTTATGACACAAACATGAAAGAAACACTAAAAACACAGAAAATAATCCCCACAGTTCAGTTCCCACGTCTGGACCAGCCTCAGTGTCCAACCATGTCTTTTGTTTGGCTGGAGGGAGAGAACTGTTCACTCGTCGATCACTGAGCGTTGGGCTTTTCTAAACTTGATGGTGAGCGTCTCTGGGAGAGCGTCTCTCTGGACACTGTCACTTCTTCATATGCTCCACTTCTGTTTGATGATTTGTTTGATTCGTTTTGCTTCACTGCCACATTCACTTACAAAATACACTTGATTTGGACTCACAGTTTCCTTTGGTTTCTGAGTCAATAGTTCTTTTCTATTCATATCTTGGGTTAGACTCAGTGTCACAAATCGGCCGTCGTCTTTGAAACTGACAGAAGAGATATTCTGAAGTAACCGTGGGGGTGGAAACTCTCTGCTTTTAAAACTGTATCTCGATCAGTTACTTTTCTGAAAATTGTGCTGTGTAAATCCCCATCAAGGTCCTTATAAATATTTAAATCTAAGAAATGTATTTCTGATAAGGAATAGTCCAGGCTGAGTTTAATATTGACATTTGTATTATTCAAGAAAGAGTGAATCTGTAACAGTTTGACTCTTTCTTGTTCCGACTCTGACCACAGAAGCAGAACATCATCGATGTAACGTCTCCACCACAGGATTTTATCTCCAGGTTTGTTCACATCAGACAGAACATAGTTTTCTTGTTCAGATTTGCATATTTGGGTGTGAAGCTCCCAGCTGTGGCTTGTTGTTGTTTATATAGTTGCTGCTGATGTTATTTTTCAGTGTAAATTCAGTTAGTTTGAATATAAATCCAGCAGGGGGCAGTGTCCCTGAACTCTTCTTGTTGAGGTAATGATCCAGTGTCATTAGTCCATCTTTATGATCAATATTAGTGCATAATGATTCTGCGTCCATAGTTGCAAACTATGCATTAATTATATATATATTATAATATTTATGCATATATAATACATACATAATAATACATATATATTATAATATTTATGTATTATGTTTTTTTTTTTTTGTTTTTTTTTTTGGTTTGTTTTTTTTTTTGTTGTTTTTTTTTTTTTTTTTGTTGGTTTAGTTGTTGTTGTTTTTGTTGTTGTTTTGTTGTTTTGTTGTTTTGTTTTTGTTTGTTTTTGTTTGTTTTGTTGTTTTGTTGTTTTGTTGTTTTGTTGTTTGTTGTTTTGTTGTTTTTTGTTTTTGTTGTTTTGTTGTTTTGTTGTTTTGTTTGTTTTGTTGTTTTGTTTTGTTGTTTGTTGTTTGTTGTTTTGTTGTTTTGTTGTTTGTTGTTTGTTGTTTGTTGTTGTTTTGTTTTTTGTTTTTTGTTGTTTTGTTGTTTTGTTGTTTTGTTGTTGTTTTGTTGTTTTTGTTGTTGTTGTTTTGTTGTTTGTTGTTTTTGGTTTGTTGTTTTCGACACCAGGAGGCGCCACAGCATGTTTCACTCACATTAGAAGCTGAGAAGGTTTTTCAGGTTGTTCCACAAATTCACCCTCTGGTCTCAGTCTTGAAGGTGTTGGACTCGGTCTGGTCTTGGTCTTGGTCTTGGTCTTAGGTCTTGGTCTTGGTCTTGGTCTCGGTCTTGGTCTAGGTCTTGGTCTGGTCTGGTCTTGGTCTGGTCTTGGTCTCTGGTCTTGGTCTTGTCTTGGTCTGGTCTTGGTCTTGGTCTGGTCTTGGTCTTGGTGGGTCTTGGTCTTGGTCTTGGTCTGGTCTGTCTTGGTCTTGGTCTCTCAGGTCTTGGTCTTGGTCTTGGTCTTGGTCTTAGGGTCTTCTGGTCTTGGTCTCGGTCTTGGTCTGGTCTTGGTCTCAGTCTTGGTCTGGTCTTGGTCTGGTCTAGGTCTTGGTCTTGGTCTTGGTCTTGGTCTTGGTCTTCTTGGTCTTGGTCTTGGTCTGGTGGTCTTGGTCTTGGTCTTGGTCTTGGTCTGGTCTTGGTCTTCTGGTCTTGGTCTTCCGGTCTTGGTCTTGGTCTGGTCTAGGTCTTGGTCTGGTCTTGGTCTTGGTCTTGGTCTTGGTCTAGGTCTTGGTCTTGGTCTTGGTCTTGGTCTTGGTCTTGGTCTTGGTCTTGGTCTGGTCTTGGCTTCTGGTCTTGGTCTAGGTCTTGGTCTTGGTCTCGGTCTTGGTCTTGGTCTGGTCTTGGTCTTGGTCTTGGTCTTGGTCTTGGTCTTGGTCTCAGTCTTGGTCTGGTCTAGGTCTTGGTCTTGGTCTCTTGGTCTTGGTCTCAGTCTTGGTCTTGGTCTAGGTCTTGGTCTTGGTCTGGTCTAGGTCTTGGTCTGGTCTTGGTCTAGGTCTAGGTCTCGGTCTTGGTCGGTCTCTGGTCTAGTCTTGGTCTTAGTCTTGGTCTGGTCTTGGTCTAGGTCTCGGTCTCAGGTCTGGTCTTAGGTCTTGGTCTGGTCTTGGTCTTGGTCTCAGTCTTGGTCTTGGTCTAGGTCTTGGTCTTGGTCTAGGTCTGGTCTGGTCTAGTCTTAGTCTGGTCTTGGTCTTGGTCTTGGTCTCAGTCTTGGTCTCTAGGTCTTGGTCTAGGTCTTGGTCTAGGTCTTGGTCTTGGTCTTGGTCTTGGTCTCAGTCTTGGTCTGGTCTAGGTCTTGGTCTTGGTCTGGTCTAGGTCTCTGGTCTTGGTCTGGTCTTGGTCTTGGTCTTGGTCTAGGTCTTGGTCTTGGTCTTGGTCTTGGTCTTGGTCTGGTCTTGGTCTTGGTCTTGGTCTGGTCTGGTCTTGGTCTTGGTCTTGGTCTGGTCTTGGTCTCGGTCTCGTTGTCTTTGAAGAAAAATAAAAGAACCCGTTTTTTGTTCTGATGATTTATTTTCGTTCACAACAAAAGAGAAAAAGAAGAAACTTTTACAAAACACGAAAAGCCAAAAGTGCAAACGGCGAAAAGCCAAAAGCCAAAAGCGACACAGACACGAACCGAACGTCGACGCGTCCAAAACCCAAAACCCAAAACCCAAAACCCAAAACCCAAAACCCCAAAAACCCAAAACCCAAAACCCAAAACCCAAAAAACACAAACACAAACATTTTCTACTTTCACCATCGAGTCGTCGTCTTATTTACACCGACACGTTCGCTGGTCCGTGCGTCTCCAGCTCAAAATAAACTTTACACTTTACACTTTAGAGTTGAGACTTTAGAGTTGAGACTTTAGACTTTAGACTTCTGAGTACGAGAATATTCTGTGTAGTAAAATAGAGCCTGTTTTCGTGGTTTCTATGGCGACCGCCGCTCACATCCAAAATATTTACATCAAACTCTCAGACATTTGTGCATTTTTCATCTTTTCTACAGAATCGTTTGTGTCTGGGGTTTAGTCCTGGTTTAGTCCTGGTTTAGTCCTGGTTTAGTCCTGGTTTAGTCCTGGTTTAGTCCTGGTTTAGTCCTGGTTTAGTCCTGGTTTAGTCCTGGTCAGATCTGTCAGAAAACAATAAATAAAACGTTGACTCAGCCCAGGACTTTGAAACACGTGATATTTAAACGTACAGAGTTTCCCAAAAATGTGACGTCGTCTCACAGGTCGATTATTCTGTCAGGTTTGGTTGAAATCAGCTCAAATTTTCACTGAAAGTTTCAAATCAGACCAAGATTTTATATTTAAAGATTCGTTTTTGTTCTGTTTTTCAAGTTGAGCCGTTCACTCCCAAAGAGACGTCATTTTTTTTGTAAACCGTTAAAATCAAACCGTTTTTATCTCTTCTCGTTTAGATCAGCGTTTCCCAAACTTTTTTTTTCACAAATCTTGGCGACCCGAGTCCATCGACACGGCGGTTTAGACTCTGACGCACTTTTCTCGCTCACAGTTGGTCCAAAAATTCTGCCGCGCGACTTTAAACTGGAACCAAAAAAACCTCACGTCGGCTTCCGCTTCGTTTAAAGAGTTGATTTTAAGATTTTATTGTTTGTTTTTGAAGCTTTGAATGTTCTGGCCCCACGTTACGACTTGGGTCCAGATTTACTCCCACTGAGGCGCTCCGAGGTCCGAGGTCCGAGGTCCGAGCTCCGAGGTCCGAGGTCCGAGGTCCGAGGTCCGGCTCCAGGGGCCTAAGACCAGACTGAAAACCAGGAGGACAAGACCTTCTCTGTGATCGAACCCAAACTCTGGAATGCTGTTAAAACGCTCTGAAAAGCTCTGAAACGCTCTGGAACGCTCTGAAACGCTCTGGAATGCTCTGAGACACTCTGGAACGCTCTGGAACACTCTGAGACACTCTGGAACGCTCTGGAACACTCTGCTGAACGCTCTGGAACGCTCTGGAACACTCTGAGACGCTCTGGAACGCTCTGGAACGCTCTGGAACGCTCTGGAACGCTCTGAGACACTCTGGAACGCTCTGAACGCTCTGGAACACTCTGAGACACTCTGGAACGCTCTGAGACACTCTGGAACGCTCTGAGACACTCTGGAACGCTCTGGAACGCTCTGGAACACTCTGAGACACTCTGGAACGCTCTGGAACGCTCTGGAACGCTCTGAGACACTCTGGAACGCTCTGGAACGCTCTGGAACGCTCTGGGAACGCTCTGGAACGCTCTGAAAAGTTCTGAAACGCTCTGGAACGCTCTGAGACACTCTGGAACACTCTGAGAACACTCTGGAACGCTCTGAGACACTCTCTGGAACGCTCTGGAACGCTCTGGAACGCTCTGGAACACTCTGGAACACTCTGGAACACTCTGAGACACTCTGGAACGCTCTGGAACGCTCTGGAACGCTCTGGAACGCTCTGAAAAGTTCTGAAACGCTCTGGAACGCTCTGGAACACTCTGGAACGCTCTGGAACGCTCTGAGACACTCTGGAACGCTCTGGAACACTCTGAGACACTCTGGAACGCTCTGGAACGCTCTGGAACACTCTGAGACACTCTGGAACGCTCTGGAACGCTCTGGAACACTCTGGAACGCTCTGAGACACTCTGGAACGCTCTGGAACGCTCTGAATCCTCAGAGCCGCTGGACTCTCTGGACTCGAGACATTTACAGACGACGTCCCAGAGGATTTTAAAAGACGTGAAACATCCACTAAACTCAGAGTTTCAGCTGCTTCTCTCTGGTCTGAGGTTTTTAGTCCCAAGATCTAAAACGAATCGTTTTAAAAGGAGCTTCGTTCCAGTTACTATTGTACTTATGAATAAATTATAATCTATTTATCTAAGGTTGTGTGTTTTTAACATATTTAATATTTAGTGTGATTTTATCCGAGCCTGATGATAATTTTAATTGGTCGTTTTTGGAACAAATCGTTCTGCACTGGAGAATCTGTGACACTTTATTTTGTAATTGTGATTTTCTGTGTGTTTTGTGGATGAATAAAATGTGAAATGTGGAACCTGCCGCTCAAATCTGCAGAGCAAATTTACCTACGGGTACGAATAAAGCGACCGAACCGAACCTGACCTAGTTTATGCCGAGTTCACGGATCCGATCGACCGACACCAACATCGTCCCTGAGCTGGACCTTTTTGTTTTTAAAATGACGTCAGATGTTTTGAGACACTCTGTATTTTTCCGTTTGGCATTTGTCCCGTTCGAACGCTTCAGTGAAACTCATTTGGAAGGAAACATTTGGACGGAGAGGTGGAGGAATGCAGTCTAAAAAAAACCCTTCCGGATTAGTCAGCTGAGCACAGGAAGCGGCGCTCTTCCTCTTCCTGCGGGCGCCGCGCTGTGATTGGCCGCTGGGCGTGAGGTCGAGGAGGGGGGGCGGGGCTGGGGTCGCGTCACTCGGGCTTGTGGCAGTAAATGTCTTTCAGGGCCTTGAGCTCCTCGATCAGAGTCTTGTTCTGGTTTTCCAGCACGGCCACCCGGTTTTCCAAACACTTCACGTACTCCTTCTTTTTCCGGCGACATTCCCGAGCCGCTTCCCTGGAAAAGAAAAGGAAAAACACGTGAAAAAAAAACATGTTTAAAACGCTCTAAAACTGCCTTTAGTGACAGTCTGGGGAATGTTGTCGGGAATGTGATGGGAATGTGATTGTAATGTGATGGGAATGTGATGGTGATGGGAATGTGATTGTAATGGGAATGTGATGGGAATGTGATGGTGATGGGAATGTGATTGTAATGGGAATGTGATGGGAATGTGATTGTAATGGGAATGTGATGGGAATGTGATTATAATGGGAATGTGATTGTAATGGGAATGTGATGGTGATGGGAATGTGATTGTAATGGGAATGTGATGGGAATGTGATGGGAATGTGATTGTAATGGGAATGTGATGGGAATGTGATGGGAATGGGAATGTGATGGATGTGATTTGTAATGGGAATGTGATGGTGATGGGAAATGTGATTGTAATGGGAATGTGATGGGAATGTGATTGTAATGGGAATGTGATGGGAATGTGATCGCTGTGGGAATGTGATGGGAATGTGATGGGAATGTGATTGTAATGGGTAATGTGATGGGAATGTGATTGTAATGGGAATGTGATGGGAATGTGATGTGATGGGAATGTGATGTGATGGAATGTGATTGTGATGGGAATGTGATGGGAATGTGATTGTGATGGGAATGTGATGGGAATGTGATGTGATGGGAATGTGATGGGAATGTGATTGTGATGGGAATGTGATGGGAATGTGATTGTGATGGGAATGTGATGGGAATGTGATTGTAATGGGAATGTGATGGGAATGTGATGGTTGTGGGAATGTGATTGTAATGGGAATGTGATGGGAATGTGATTGTGATGGGAATGTGATGGGAATGTGATTGTAATGGGAATGTGATGGGAATGTGATAGTGATGGGAATGTGATGGGAATGTGATTGTGATGGGAATGTGATGGGAATGTGATAGTGGTGAAAAGGCTCACCTGTTCTTCATGAGGCGGACTTCCCTCTTCCTGGTCACCTCCTCCGAGTGTCCCGAGGGATTCTGGGAGCTCGGGGACGCCGCCATCACCAGGCCCTGCGCCAGGCTGTGGTTTGGCGCCCTCAGCTGGTACGCCGGGATATCTCCTGTGGCCGCTGGCGACAGAGAGACGGGAGACGGGAGTGAGCCACGAGTGAGCCACGAGTGAGCCGCGAGTGAGCCGCGAGTGAGCCGCAAGTGAACAGGCACGTGTCAATCATTCTGACGCTGATGTCATCGACTCTTCAAATCACTTCTGCAATTTGTTCTTGTGTTTTTAGACGTTTTTTTGTTAGTGTTTGCTTCAGTGTGCATCGTGTCGCCATGGTAACGTCCACATAGAACACGCCCAGTGTGATGTCACTGCACAACATCAATATCCAGGAACTTCAGACCTGGTTTAGACCTGGTTTAGTCCTGGTTTAGTCCTGGTTTAGACCTGGTTT